ATATATATGTGTATGTGTTTGTGTATGGACTCACTACAATACCCACACATGAATGACAATAGACAAGTTGAGCCTTGTCTATGCCTGTGTTACTTCTTTAGGTATACATCCGTGTACTCTCTGACATACACCTCACCAGATGTCCTCAGCCGATGCCCCACCCACTCACTCTTTCCAATCTCCAACGCATCTCTTACCCCTCACAGGGAACATAGCCAACGCAGACGTTGACTATACGCAGGTGCTGCATGACACAGGAGGTGATGTGCTGATGGGTGATGTGACTGCCGATGACTTTGATGACGCTGACTTGATGGCTGAGTTTGCCGCCATTGGAGGCGATCCAGAGGAGCTGAAGGTTCGTGGTAGATTAGTGTGGTTTAGTGTGGTTTAATGTGGTTTTAGTGTGGTGTTAGTTGGATTCTGCGGTGGTAGGTGATCCACATTAGATTGGCTGACTGTACGGTCATGGAACACAACCACAAGGAGCGTAAGGCATGTGAGTGATAGGTTCATTGGCAATGTACGGGGGGTGACTTGTTAGTGGGCTGCTAGTGCTTCCTATGAATTAGAGTGTGCTTGGTAGTGGCATGTGAGTGATAGGTTCATTGGCAATGTACGGGGGGTGACTTGTTAGTGGGTCGCTAGTGCTTCCTATGAATTAGAGTGTGCTTGGTTATGGCTTCCTTTTTTATACTTATTATTCCCTTTTATTGTGGTTGATATTATATTCCCCCCCCCCATAAATGCCTGTTAGGAATGTTGAATAGTTCTTGATTGGTATATATGATGGTAGGGTTTAGGGTTTAGGGTGTAGCAGGGTTTTGGTTGTTTCGTCTAACATGCTGCCATGGCAATAACACCTTGGCTGGTGTGATCATCACACTACTGTATCACCCCTGTCTCCTCAACACGAACAACCAGCGACATACATTCAAACCGCACCTGTAATACTATTCCTACTACTGCAGCACTGTAGCCAGGCGCAGTACCCATATAGCCTGGGTTATAAAAATAAAGATCTTTCTAGCACACACATACCACCCCAAATTACATACAACGGGATAAGCATGTCACTCAACATGCCATCCACCCACGTGACTTATCCTGTCCTCTAGACGGAAACCAAAGCCAAAGCCAAAGCCAAACCACCGGCCCAACGCCCATCGCTCAGAGCCCCACCGGCGCATGCACCTGCACCTGAGAAAAGGACCACTGCACCTGCACCCGAGATAAAGGTGCAGCCTGTTACTAGGCCACCCAACGACTCAGCTACTACTGGTATGGTCACTATGCGTGTAGATTGTGTGCTTTTACGAGGGTGTATGGTACATATATATACTGCCTGATCATACATAATGTTATATATGAGTCACAGGATCATGTATAATGTTTTATTTATGAGTCATACGACTTACAGTAGGATGTATTATAGTGTGTGTATATTTCTGCTCATATGTACGCACGTGATGACGCAGGCTGAGTGTGTGCCAGTGGATGCCATCTATTTCTGCTTACTTGCAACTACCCCTGTCATGCGTGTTTCATTGACTTGTGACCTTTGCACCGACAAGTTGTGTGGCACAGATCTGTCTCAATCATGTAGTTGGTTGTGTGAGTTGCTCCATATACAGTCGAGTTGTTTGTTTGTCCTGTCACAGCCTGCTTACGCATACGTGTCAGTATTACATGAGTTGTGTGCGTCGTGAGATTAAGGGTTTAGGGTTAAGGCTAGGTAAGACATACCTGAGATGCGCAAAACCCTAAACGCTACATCCCCACCTAGTCACACCCTCTACCTATCATTCACCTCTATAGGCACCACCACAACCACATCACTCAACGATCACGGAGAAGGGGAAGACGAACACAAACAAGCACTGGGTGTAGCCAACCAACTCAGCGTAGTCAAGAAGAGGCAGACAACCTATCGCAAGGGCGCTATAGCTGCCAACAAGGCCAGCAATAAACCGGTAAGACATACCAACACAGAAGAAAGGTACCGTGCATGCAACTGTGAGAGGTGACAAACTCATGATCACACACACACACACGCATACACACACACGTACATACACACATACTCACACACACACACACACACACACACACACACACACACACACACACAC